GTGTGGTGTGGTGTGGTGTGGCGTGGCGGGGAGCATACTCCCGTTCCTGTCCCTGAAACCCTGACCCCGTCCTTGTCCCATCCCGGTGAGGAATTAGGTTGGGACAAGATTCTCCGTCTCTGGTCAACTCTTACTCAAAATCTTAAATTAGTGTAATTTTTAATTTTAAAAACTAAAAACTTAAGTCTTAATTATATATATATATATATATATATATATATATATATATATATATATAATTACTCGGGGACAGGGGCGGGGCTAGGAGGGGTATCCTGGCCCGTCTTCGACGAAGAATTACATACATTCTCTATTCTATCCTTGTTATTCAAAAATTTATATATATATATAATTACTCGGGGACAGGGGCGGGGCTAGGAGGGGTATCCCGGCCCGTCTTCGACGAAGAATTACATACATTCTCTATTCTATCCTTGTTATTCAAAAATTTTCTCATTTCCGTACCGTCAGCAACCGGCCGGGCCAGACAAATTGCCATCGCTACTCTGAGTTTTTCTTTGTCATCTAAAAAAAGTACAATTCATCAAGCTTAGGAGATTAACTCTTATATATATAAGTGTGTAATGTTAAAAGAGTTCTGAGCCATATTTTTCTCAAATAAAAGTAAAATTTTGTAAATGTGACTTAGATCGAGTCTATATTAATTTTACTGGGGTAGGGATACTGAATGTGGTATAATAAAAACAACTTTTAATTTAATAATGATTAAATAAATTTAAAACTTTTGTTGTTTTATATGAATGTATTTTGTCTGTATATATTGTTATCATCACCACTCATAATCAGGTCACGAGTCACTGTTATCAAAGTTTGGTGTTTCTTGAAATAGTGGCCCCAGGTTTCTGTTCAAAGCGACAACACCATTGATATGTGCAGTTACTATCAATGCTCTTCTACCATTTTTATTAATTAATAACAAAATCAGCCAAGAATATATAATTATTACTCCAAAAATAAAAGATTTTAAAAAATTATGATGATTTGAAACTTGACCACCCATCCATAAGATTTGGGTTCATTGAAGAAGTCAGAAATTTGAATTCATAAATTTCTTGAAAGAGCTTATTCTAAATGGGTTCTAAATGAGGGTATTTTAAAGAAGAAAGAAAAGGGAAGTAAAAAGATTAAAATACTCTCTTTATTTTATATATTAATATTTTTGAGTGAATTTTTATCAGTAATTTGGTCGGAGGGATTAAAATTGATAAAAGTTGAATAGTTAAGACACTAAATTGACAGTTTTGAAAGTCATGGATTGAAATTAGCAAGACTTCAATAGTCATAGGACCAAAAGTAAAATTAACTCGTAATTTATTTAAAAATTGTGATTAGAACGATTGATCCTTTTAAAATTTCAATTGTAATTTCTCCCAAAACATTGAATCCGCAACCCTAACAGGGCGTTTGGTTGGAGGGGGGGAATTATGTGGGAAAAGAATTGTAATTCCATGGGAGTTGAATTACTGGGAATAAAGTGGGAATTTAAATTCCAGTGTTTGGTTGATAGGAATAGAATTACTGGGAATTTCAATTCCAATGTTTGGTATACATGAGAATTGAAAGGGAATAAGTAGTATAAAGTCAAAAATGTTCATTATTGTTGTTAGACATTAATTTTAGGTTAAAAAAGGAAGGGGTAATTTTGACTCATCACTATCTTTTTTTCCTAGGAATTAAAATACCAGGGGGGACATGGGATTTTAATTCCATGAAAATGGGGGAATTGCAATTCCTTCCAACCAAACTACGGAATTTAATGGCCTTTGGAATTAGGTGGGAATTAAGTAGGAAGGGAATTTAAAATCCCTCCAACCAAACGCCCTGTAAGAGTTCCCCACACTCTGGTCCGACAGAGCATTTGGAAGGATATAAATTACGGTGATTCAATGATTCATCGGACAAGCCCAAATTTCAATTGTAACTTAACTAAATGGCTTCCTAGATAGCCATTAGAAATATCCAATCGCACTTTCAAATGCATTCTACACTTTGCTAAGGGGTCGAATTCCAAATACATATAAAATTGGGGAGTTGAGTGGCGAAATAAGTTCATTGGATAAGGGGCAACGCTTTGCAGCCTTTGGTCTCACGCCTGCATAAATCTATGGAGAATGGTGTTTTGGCGTGTCTCGATTTCGACCCCCCAAATTTTCACTTTTTTACCTTTTAGGCCTTTTATTTTGCTCTCAGTCTCAATGGATTTCTCTGTACTACTCCATTGACCAATGCACTCGAGACAAGATTTTGGAAATTCCATGACTTTGTTGGGGCATGCATGTAAGTTGAATCTAAGTCATTGTACGTTTTTGTATTTGAATGGGAAATGACTTCCATTTAGGGTAGACAAAGTGGAAGAAACATTCCCCCTTTTCAAGCTACAAAGTGCATGCATTATATAACCAATATATAAACTGGTTTGGTTGGCCTGACAGACCATGCACTCTTGTCCTTTAAGAGAGGCCGGGAGTTTGAACTCTGATCCCTCTTATATGAAAAAATCAATCTAGTCAGTACTTTACCTCTTAATTGGGCCGACCTAATGCGAACGAGGATTAGTCTGAATATGCTACAGACTCAAAGGTGTTTCTTACAGATTGAGCCTGCTCAGGACACCTCAGGCAATTTATATCCTACACCACGGCGCGCGTTGCACTATGCGCCCAGATGCAAAACGACGTCGTTTTAATTTTTTTTTTTTTTTTGAAATTTCCCGCCCCAGTGAATGGCAGTAGTTTTTTCTTAAAAAAAAAAACCCGCTGTTCAAGAATGTACATAATGTTATACTAGAATACACATAATGTTATACATGAATGTACATAATTATATAACAAAATATACATACTCTTTTTAAAAGATAATACACATAATCTAACATAATACATAATAAACATAAACTTTTAACATAATACACATCAACTCTTAACATAATACACACAAATTTTCTTATTCGGATGTACATAATTGTATAAAAAGAATGTACATAATTGTATAAAAAATACACATAACTGTATGAACCAATACACATAACGTTGTGAACAAATACACATAACGTTGTGAACAAATACACATAATCTCAGCAACTTCCTACCGCGCCTCCCAATACTACCCCAAAACGACGTCGTTTAGGGAGGCGCGCGGCGCACAATGCTATGTGCGCCGTGCTGTAGGATATAACGATTGAGACACCTCGTGGTCTAACCCAAAAAAAATATCACCAATATAGAGTTTCTCGTATCCGGTTATTGGAGCATTATTTCCGTATCTGAATAGTCACAAGTTCGACTTCTATCAATACCTTCTCAATCAAGCTCATTGTATAAAGTTTTCTTAGTACAATTTACCTCTTCACACACACACACACACACACACACACACACACACACACACACACACACACACATATATATATATATATATATATATATATATATATGCTTATAGAAAGAAATAAAAGCATATATATAGTATAAAAAATATAGGGATTTTTATGGTGTTGATTCGAGTATAATCATGCATATTATTCTTTTATGCATAGTATTATTTGTGATAATAGTACTTGGATGCAGTACAATTAGATATAAAATACATGATTGTACCTATTATAACGAAGAATATCATATATAGAGCAAATTTTATAGATTTCATAATGTAGTTTCATTCTTAGTAAGCTAAAAACTCATTTCAAGTAGCATTAATAAGCTCGATTGTTAATCTCTAATCTCCATGCAATAGATTAGATTATCTGATTCATAAATAATATAAAATAATTTTTATTTGTCTTGCATGCATATAAGGTACAAATATTAATTACCTAACAGCATCTGCAAATTTAATATTGTTTTCATTTAAAACCCCATCTGAATTCTTGATAGGATATTAAATATAGGCATGTACTTATTCTTTGTTTATAGTGGCAAGCTAGTCATTTATTATCGCCAGATAACTTTACAGCCACGGTATCATTAATGCATATTTTGGTGGGGATAACCTTACACTAGAGTGTATAAAATATTTTATATCTCATGATAAGAATATTGAGAGGTTTTATTTTACTAATGATCACAACGTGCATAGTTTGAATTTTATCAAAGACAAAATAAGAGACATTTATAGTCGAGCAGCATGACTGTACTAAATAAGAGACTTTCTAGTACTCAATCCAAAAAAAAAAAAAAAAAAAACTTTCCCTAGATAGAGCTCCAATTCTAAATTTTTTCAAAAATAGTTACTGAATCACTATATAAAACGAGTTTTAATAAGAGTAGAATTCATTCCAAACTCTCTCATCTATGCATATGTCTATCATCTCTCCTAAATAAAATATTGTAAAGTAATGTGTGCTATAATTTTAAATTCATATGTATAAATGACATTTAAGTTTATTAATCACTCGTAAAATTAAATAAATTCAGATAAATATATGTAAATTTGTATATAATTATAATTTTGACTAAATTAGTCGGCCCTCTACTAATTAAAGTTCCAAAGCTTTGACATTTTCCTTCGATTATTGCTTAGTCACTAATATTCAATGAAAGCCTCACTCGATCATAATACACATCATTAATGTGAAATGGTTAATATCATACTAAAATTACATTATTTAATAGTATATAAATAATGTACTTTTTCTGATTATAAAATATATTTTTAATATATTAAAAATAATTATTTATATACTAAATATACATTTTTTGATAATATATAAAATAATATAGTCAAATAATGTTATTATATATATATATATATATATATATATATATATATATAAAAGTAGTTTTTATTTGTGATCAATACAGTTACGTAGATCAAATGATTAGGACTAATGGACTATGGTCCATAGAATAATGATTGAGAAATGGGCCTCTATAATACTATATAATGAATGGGTTTTTCCTACTTTTTCTTATTGGGCCTTTTAATTTTTAGTTTTTTTTTTTTTTTGATAACAATTTTTAGTTCACTTAACTGACGAATCAGACGGCAGTTAAGCTTATCATTTCTTATCGGACAGCGTTACAGCGGAGCAGATAATGGAATCTAAACCGCCGCCGCCGTCGCCGCCGCCGTCGCCGCCGCTTCTCCGCCGTCTAATCGACTTCGACACACAGCTCTCACTCCGTCTCTACACCCTAACCCACCCAATCCTGCCCTACTCCGTCCTCAAAACACTGGAGATCTCCGGCGACGGTCGCCTGTTCTTCCCCGTCATCATCTCAATCCTCCTCGCTACCTCCGCCGCCGCCGCCTTCCTCGTCGACCTGCTCCTCGGCGCCGTCCTTGATTTAGCAGTAATCGGCATCCTCAAGCACCTCATTCAGAGGCCTCGACCTGTCTACAATAAGAACATGTTCCTCTCCTTCGCCGTTGACCACTGGTCCTTTCCTAGCGGACACTCCTCCCGAGTTTTCTTCATCGCCACCATGTTCTACCTATCATTTGATCTCGTACAAGGATTTCTACTTGATCTGAGATACGACCTTTTCGCGGATCATTTCGTTTACATCATCGGAGCTTGGGCGACGATCACATCGGTTTCCAGGATTCTCCTCGGCCGCCATTTCGTGCTCGACGTGGTCGCCGGAGCCTGCTTGGGCGTTTTAGAAGGATTGTTCTCCTTTAGGTTTTTCAATTATGACAAATTAAGCTCATTCTTCAAATGACCATTAATTTCTCTTGCCATTCAATTGCTCCATCCTATCCTGTTGTAGAGACTTTACAGCTTTATGAATGTATAATTTCATGAAAATTTTCTTATCTTTGGTTGTCCATTTAACAAATACTTAGTTAATATGTTTAGTGTGAAGATTCAAATGCAATGACAGAGCCAATGAGATTGATGTTAATGCTCATTGTCTGACATTACAAATGCTACTGAAGGGGAAGGTCTGAAATAAATCTACACTGACATGAACTGAGCCTGTCAGCAGCTCACCATATGTGAGATATGAAGAAGTTTTGATTTTCATTATCAAAGAAGCCAAAGATTTTGAATTGCAGATTTGGGCTCAATGGCCAATAATATGCAGAGGTGTATAGGTTTGCAGTTGTTAACAATGGGAAACAAAAACTTAGAATGTAAGGCCCAAATTAGCTGCTAACTTAGGTAAGACTGTAGATTAGCAGGAACTTAGCATTATTTCCAGGAATAGTTTTTGGATCTTCATTATGCGGTGCAATTGATCTTCTCCGACTTGTATTATTTGATGTAACATCTAACTTTCCTCTTGGTTGTTGCTGCAGAGATGTCACAATCTTTGTGTTAATGCGTGCAAGAGTCATTTGTAATTGAATTATTGTTTTGGGAGCTACAGAGGTGAGGATAAACATGTTCTTATCAATTCAAGAACTTATCCAATTCATTCTTTGATGTTTTAGTTACTGATTGAATGGTCTGGCTTAAATTTTACTCGGTGAAAGTTGTGGTAGAACATGTAGCACACAAGTGGCCTGCTATGAGTCAGTTGAAATGACATGTGGGCTGCATCTTTTGGTCGTAATGGGGAGCAAAAGGCTCTATTCTCTGTGTCCTTAGTTGTTGGATCAAATGAATCTTGCAACTTCCTTTCTTGTACATTAGGCTTAAGCATCCTATCCTAGATTGAACTCATCATTTTTTTGTTTTGTTTCTATCATTAAAAGATTCATCTTGCATTTGGTTAATCTGCACTTTTATAGCTGTTATCACGTTATGTTTGCAGGAGGAGATGTGGTCCTGTCCCTATTCCTGTCGATTATAGGATAGCTTTCTTGATATGCTAGCACCCTGCATTAAGGGTCATGTATAAGGACATTATGCATTGAATTTGTGGTGTTCACTTAATCTTGTCTATATTAGCTTTCTGGCTGGTCTCCCCATCTTAACTTGTTACAGACTGTAGATGAAACTGATATATTTGCAATAATTGTAGTTAGTCAATTACTACCTTTCTTCATCATCTTCCTTAGATCTTTAGCTCTCTGTTAGCATGGCCAAAATTTTCCAAATGCTTACATACTCCTGAGTCCTGATTGTACCAACTTTTCTTTGATTCTCTAGGCACCATAACCCCCCCCCCCACCCCCTCCCCCCTCCACCACTTCACCATACTCCGAAAGTTTTGGGTGACGAGGTAAACCCGCAGTCATTACCCGATGGTCTGTAATGAGTAAATCCCGCCTTGTGACCCTAGCCGGCAAAAGACCACAAGGAGATAATTGTCCCAAGAAGACCAATAATCCGTTCCAACTAGTAGTCGAATTTGGAACCTTGTGATTACCAAGCTAACTGTCTGACCAATTTGGTTGGGCTGCCCCCCCCCCCCCCCCCCACACATTAAGAGTTTTATTATTACTAGGGCCGGCCCTGTCCTCGAGCAGGAAATCCTGATCGACCTACATTTAGGTGTTTGAACTGGTTCTAGCTAAGGTGGTCAAACATTGTGGGTAGATATGATTATGACATTAGTGCAGATAAGGCTCAAACACAGAAATAGCACTGAACCCAAGCTCACACCTTTACACATCTTGCAAGTGGTTTGACAGTTAGCTAGATAGAGGACCATAGAAAAAGATTAGTCTATTTCCTACCAAGTTCCACACCAATGTTTGCCAGAAAGCCTTTGGAAAATTGATATTTCAGGTCAAAAGTTGGTGGACTGACTTTCAGCACTGTGTCATGACTTTGAAATGAATTTATTACTTGTGTGCTTGTAGTGTTTTTACAGTGCTGCAGCAAAGTTTTGGTTCTTACTGCCACAGATTATCATGGAGGCAGGCAGCGAGTGCAGAAATGTTACTAGACTGACAGTGATTGAGAAGGATGTGCCGGAGAAACTTGCCCAGAAAAGGCGAAATCTCTCGCCCCAAGGGCCCCATACGCTGGTCCCACCGGATTGTAGATGGGTAAATCTCAGTGACCCCACCGTCCATTAGGTAGGAGGACCAGTGCCTAGTGCCCAGAAAGAGTCACCCCACAAGAAGGTAAAATTCCCACACTGTAACTGTCGGAGCTCGATCGTTCTTAGTTTTTACCCACAATTTGACACTCAAGAACCAACTGAGTTACCCGTGTGGGGATGCTAGAGAAACTTTGAAGCAATGAAGAGAGAGAGAGAGGGGTATGGAAGAAAGATAGATAGATAGATCCACCAGAAACACACACACCTGTCAAACTTGCCCCACAAAATTATGATGCAGAAGCCTCACTCCACATGGTTGTATAGATTTGAGCCTACTTTTGTTTCCTAGTCCTTTACTTTCTGTGGTTATTTATTTGTTGGAGTTTCATTTTCTTTTCCATTCTTCCACTGCATACTGGTTGTTGGAGTAACATCAAAATGCCAAAGATTCCTAGAGACATGACCCCCCCCCCCCGCCCCTCCCCCCATGGTGCTTTCAACCAAATGCATATAATATTTTTTCATCGTTAGAGATAACGATACAAATTTGAATGTAAATTCGATCACATTTATGACAGTCATTTTGAGCATAGTATGGTTCAATTTTTTAATTGTAGTTAAGCATGGCTAGCTGTCAAATCTCAATAGTGTTGATATAATCATGTCTGTTTATGGTCCTTCGTATAATTGTGTGTTGTTCAGTATGATGACGCGTGTCTCTTTTCTGGGTTAATATTGTTTGAAGCCTCTGTATCGGTCCAAATTTTCTTCTGCCATTTCTGCAAAATCTTATGCAATGCTGCATCCCAGTTATAAACCAATGGTGAAAGTTCCCTTTTTATTTTCTTAAATCATTTATTTTCCCAACAATAATTTACTCTAAAAAATTTATTTCTTAATCATCCTCTGATTTACAGGGAAGCAAGCAGCTTGTGAAGGAATAGAAAAATCTGCATCCCAGTTATCAAAGACATAGGGGGTGGGGAGTGGTGAGGGGGTGAAAAAAAGATCATAAAGAGATAATCCGTTTAAGTTGTCTATAACTGATTGTTTTAAACTAAGAACGGCAAAATCATACAGGGTAGCTCAAGTGGCAAATGAGCTCTCTTTGTGGGGGAGAATTCTGGAATAACCTAGGTTCGATTTTCACAAATGACGATTCCTTTTAGGTCAGCGGCGTAACACATTAATTACGATAATAATTTTGGAGCATTGTAATTTAATAAGTAATATACAATGAATACCTTTAGACTAGATGTGCCTATAATTTAGCGAGAGAATTTTTACTATGTCCGAAGTTAGAAATCATAAATTAGAAAAAAAAAAAAACACACACACACAGAGACTAGGTTGTGTATAAAAGGATGTCGGCTCAATGCTAATTTGTATTAGATCTATCCAAAATAAAAGACAAAAGAGGGATTATGATAATAATGTGTAGTATATATATGATTTGATTTGAAGGCTCCCAAAATTGTTGTCTTCCTAATGTATATGAACTAGATGTTGGGTCGTTCCTTTCTATTGGTGGCCCATGATGATTATGTGTAGTAGATGTAACACATAATTTATCTGGTAATAAATATTATGTTCTCCGCCTAACTTACTGAGACACATCCCGCAACTCTGTTATAGTATCTGTTCATAAACTACTTTAGCAACTTATTGAAGCACACAAAGAGTCCATACCACTTTTAATGAGAATTGAACCCATGATTTATTTTTGGAAGAATCACTTCGTGTCATTAGACCATAATGTCATTTAGTATATATAACATTGGTCATTGTTTAAATATCTTGAGCACTTTCCATATCACAACTAAAAAAAAAAAAAAAAAAAAAAAAAAAGAGCAAAACACACACCACCAAACATACACTTGATATTTTCCTTTTTTTGTCGAGACCTACACCGTTTTTTATGATGATAAAAATTGACAGTCATTATTTGAAAATGTGCATTGGATAAATATCACTCTATGTAATGGTTCGTAAACTACAAATAGAAAACATAAATCACACTAAAAAATCTTATGTGAATGCGTTAAGAGACATCATTATATGAATTTGAAATTTGTTGAAAAGTCACAATTATTAGTGGGTACACCTAATATCTATGCCCCTTGCCCGTTGCTCAAGGAATATGTCTTAAAAAGAGTGTGAACCATCCAAGAAAATCATACTATAATAAATCTCTTTGTCAACAAATCTCAAATAATATATATATGTAGTAGATTATATAAATTATTATATTATATCAAAAGCTTTACAGTGTCATATCCCACTGTATTATAACAGTGTTTCGAAACATCAAATTAAGTTGAACAAATTTATGGCATTCATTTACATACTTATAAGTAAAAAAATACGTATAATTGATTACATATAAAATATTTTCGGTGTGTAAATTATATGTAAGGGAGAAGGATGGTATGGTATATGGTAAAATGGTATGGCCAAGCACATGTTGTGCTGGAGGGACACATTTTCTAGAGATGATATGAAATTTGAAGTGATAGGTAGGTGGTGACTGCAGGTGTGGTTTTTAGGGTTTTTATTTGGAGATGGAGAGCATATATATATATATATATATATATATATATATATATATATATATATATATATAAATCTATGTGCTTCATGAGGAGAGGACATGGATGTTGTAGGAGCATGTGACATTTGTTGTGCTTTCTTGACTTGTTCCCCAACTACATTCACATATTTTGAGCTATATGTCTTTTATATTGTAATGATATATCACGAAATAAATTAATATAATCAAGTTTTAAATAGTCTTAATCATAAATAACTTTTTTTTTTTAATGGTATTACTACATATACATGCGTTCGAATTCTTAACCATATCTTGATCGGGAATAACTCTTTCAATTCCAGGACATTATTATATACACATTAGTTCAAACTCTTAACCATGTTTTGATCAGGTACAATGTTTTCTACGATATGATATGATATTGTTGCATACACATGAGTTCGGACTCTTAATCAATCACATTTTGATGATATGGTACAAGTCTTTCAAGCTAGGGCATTGCTACATACACATGTTAGGCGTTTCTCGGGCACCCGGGAGCACCTAACGCCTACGCACCCGGATTTTTTTTATTTAAAAGATTCTTTTAAAAAAATATTAAAACTTGGTAATTATAAGCTATTTAATACTTTAATAGTTGGCTTAGACGGTCGACCGCCTAGAACAATGATTCCGTAAAAATTTTAAGCGGCTGGTCACTGTCTAGCGTCTAAGCGCGATTTTTGCAACATTAATAATATTATAAAAATATTTCAACTCTTGAATATAATATTATAATGTAATATATTTATCAATGTTACTTAGAGCATCCACACTTGTGGATATTGTGGGGAGAATTCAGAATTAAATCTTCCCTTCATGAGATAATAGCTAGTGTGGACATGAGATAATTGAAAAATAATCTCCCTGCAAATGTAGGGAGATTGTCAGAAAAAAAAAAAAAAAAAAAAAAAAAAAAAAGAGAAAGAAGAAGAAGCAAGGCTGTGCGCGTTCGCGCACAGCCTTGGGCAAAAGCCGGGCGCGTGCACTGCACGCGCCCGGAGGCGCGTCAGGCGCGCCAGTCGGCGCGCCTGACGCGTCTGACTACTTTCTTTTTTTTTTTAATTTTTTTTTTTGTTTTGTTTTTTCTTTTTTTTTTTTCTCTCCTCTCCCACACTCTCTTTCCTAATCACTCTTACATTATCTCCCCATTCTTCCCAACCAATGTGGATGCTCTTATGTATGTAGTTGTATGTATGGTTAATTATTAATTAAATAATTAATTCCTTTTCAAAAGTGAAAAGGAATCTTTTTTGTGTGTAATAAAACATTCGACATGGTCAACATAAAGTCTGTTGTATTAAGTTTCGATCTGACGAATTAGCAAAACAATAAACAAAGTGCTTGGAAATGATTCTGTTCACTGTCCTGGTTATCAAAGTTTGGACAAAAGCTGTTCTATTTTTACCAATAATATTATAATAATAACTCTATATAATATAATTTTCTTGTTAATTGAATCATT